AAAAAAAAAAAAAAAAAAAAAAAAAAAAAAAAAAAAAAAAAAAAAAAAAAAATTATAGAGATATCTATTTGCACCGACTCCATGTCGACATGTCAATCACACCCTTCAAACTCCCGCCATCAATGGAGCTCACAGTCCCAATTCCTCGAATCCCCCAAAATTTCTCCCCAATTCACAGAGCCCTAACTAAATTCCACGTCTCTTCCTCGTCCTCATCCAAAAGCCCTAATTTCCAGTTACCACTTCCATCAAAATTGCCCAAACCTCCGAAAGCCCTAATCGCTCCAAGAGGCGAAGAATTTCCGACGATGGCGGAGATCCTGGCGGCCGGCGAGGCCCAGAATATAAGCCTCCGGCTGCAAACGTTGGGGCCGTTTTTCCGAATAACGGCGAAAAGTTTGGAATCGCAGCGAGAGATTGGGAAGGCCGAGGGGTTGATAAGAGTGTGGTTGCGAGGGAGGATTCTTCATCTGGATTCAATTCGATTGAAGCGAGAGAGCTTGGGGATGGAGAAATCGATATTTGGACTCGGATTGTTCATCGGCGCTGTTGCGATTCGGTATGGGTATGATTGTGGGTGCAAGACGGCGGAGTTATTGGCCATCAATGACTCCGATCTTTACCATTCTAAGGTTCTTTTCTTCTCTCTCATTTTTTCAGGATAGAATTTGTTAGTATCATTTAAAACATAATTAAATTTGACATTACAGTTTGTTATATAAAATTGATATTTTTATTATCGTATTTTTTATTTTTAATGAAAAAGGTATTTTTTTAGAACAATTTTAAGAATTTTTTTATTAAAAATAAAATACTATCTTTTAAAATATTTAATTAAAAATTTTAACTCAATTTTAATTTGTATTTTGAAAAATCACCGTGGAAACATGAAAACATTTGTTTAAAAAGTTGTTAGAGAAAAAATAATAAAAAATAATAATTATGAAATAAAATAAATACATATGAAAAAATATATATTTTAAAATTAACCATGAATTTGGAGGGATGAACTAACTTAATTTGAATTCAAAAGATTTTTTGGATTATTAAATCTTTTAATCACCATATTTTTTATATTTTAAATAAAAAAAGTACCAAAATTTAATATTGGCACATGTGTTGGCAGCTGGTTAGATTCTACACAAGGATCGGGTTCGAGAGTGTGTATGAAGTGAGTGGTTCAAACGTAGGAGACATTGGAGACATGTTGGTGTGGGGAGGGGTCGGGACTAGAATGGATGCTCCCATTGAAACCCTTCTATTTAAATGGTGTTCAAGGTTCAAATCCCGATCGTCCTAACCTATAAAACTCTCACTTATATTGTACTATTGAGCTTACACTAAAAAAAGATTGTTTATAAGTTAGTTCAATATACCTTTTCTTTGAAAATCTAAATAATGCTAGCTAGTTAAAATGATTTTTTTACCGCATTTTCATTTGAAAAGATAATGTTAAAATATTTATATTGTGTTGAAGACATTTTTAAAAATAAATTTTGAATTATTATTAAAATTTTATTAATCTAACATTTCTATTGAAAAAAAAGGATTGCATTAAATAATAATTATATAATTTGAATATAAATTAAATAACGAAGAGTCAAATTTCCATATAATTATTAATTACATCCTTGATTAATAAATAATAAGTTTCGGTTTTATTTAATTTCTGTTCGGGTAGTTTGACACGTCACTTCACCTTCCCGCGAGACGAAGCCCTAACTTCCCACGCTCTGTTTTAGCGTTTTTCACGTTCTTTCATTTTTTGACATTGAGAAGAAAACGGCGCGAAGCAAATGTCGCGTCGTGAAATTCGGGAATCCGACTCCAATCGCCATCGTTCCAGATTCGATGGAGAACCCAGGTACCTTACCTCTCTTTGTCTGATTGTATTTCCATTTCTTTAAGTTCATTGACTTTTGTTCGGTTTCAATGGATTATCTTTGTGTTAGCTTCCATTAAGCTTCCGGAATTTCCATAATTTTGCCCCAGTATGCTAGAGAGTCGGCGTGCGTGAAATTTGTTGATGATGTTTGCTTTGATGTTGTCGTATTTCAAGCTTCAAGTTACGTAGAACATGTATTTTGATTGTTACCAAAGAAATGACTCAACAATTGCTTTTGCAATGCGCAGTCTAGTAGTGCTTATGTCTATTAGTTCTAGTTTCAAATTACTTCATGGTTATTGATGGCTACTCAGTACCACCCCATTGTTATCAGCCCTGCATTATGCCTATTCAGTTTCCTCTAATTCCAAAACGCTCTAAACAAATATTAATTTTCAATTTTTTGCTTAGTCAAAAGTGAGGGCTATGAAGAGAAATGCATTACCATATTTGGATATTGCAGCAATAAGATGGCTTCATTCTTTTCCTTCCAATTGAATCAAAACAATACTTAAGATAGAATAAGTGATTAATGTGTTTCAAGTATTATGTTATACTTAATCATGGAACTCTAGTATGACATGAATATGTGGCTTATTGTTACTAGTCCCAAGAGGTCAAGGAGGGACAGGGAAACATTAGAGAGAAGTTATCTAGAAACTCTAGTTCTCATGTTGAAGATAATAAAGATCGGGATCAGAAACATGGGCTTCAACATGAGGGGCAAGATATGATACCCCATGAGTGTTCATCAGCACTTGATTCTAAGCCAGAATATGGGGTTAGCAAAGGAGTAAACAGGAACAGTGATAGGAGGGATGGAGGGACTAAACATTCAATGAATCCCACTGAAGTACCACGATCAAGATCTTATTTTCAGGTTTGTGCTAAATTAAAGATTGTTTTTCAATTAATTTTGATAATTTCTTCCTTAGTTTTTGAAAAATTAACATTAGTCTAGTTTGTTTGTCCTAAATTTCATGGTTTTATTGGCAGCATCTTAATGCTCAGTTGGTATTGGTTTTTTACTTCACCCCCCCCC